TTTTTTTTTTTTTTTTTTTGGTTTTGTTTCATTTTTTGTGGATATACTACCTAAATATGTAGTCTCTAAATTTTTCGAGCATAAATGAACCAAAAACAAACTCAGTATCTGGTATATATATAAACTATTTTTTAATGTATTTTTTGTAACTTTTTTTTTTTTTAATTTTTTATAATTCTTTATTTTGTAAATATATAAATAGGCAGCTTTATCATGTTGAAAATAAAAAAGGGCGCGTATTCCAAATAATTTTGTTGTTCCTATGCAATATTCATATTGTATATTCTATACATATATCTGAATTATGCTCATCAAATTGGTGGAAATTGTTTAACGTTTGCTTTATTGGTTTTATATAGTTGTTTTTGTAAAATTTTGGTTCTTTTTCGTGTAGAGACTAGAGACTAGTTTCTAGCACATTACGCATAGTATTTATTTTGTAATTTTAGTATATTACCATTTTCATAATTACTTGTTCGGTTTTGGTTTGCTTGCCAGAAAATGTTTGGGTTTCATAAAAAAAAAAAAAAAAAAAAAAAAAATTAGGCGTGAGTTTGGTATATATTTTAGTATCTCTCCAAGTGTTTAAGGCTTTGGTATTATATAAATATATGTATATATACATACATATATGAGTGTGTATATAATTGTATAATTTAATTACAATTGATTTTGTTTTTGTGTACATAATTAACAATTAATTAAGTGGCGTTTGCTTTTTGTTTTGTTTTTATTTATTAAATTTTAGTATTTGTCAGTTGGTATTTCATGTTAATATCTTGTATTATTTCTTGGTAATTTTTGTTATTAAAGATCTTCGCTTAGAAAAAAATTCTGGCGTATAAAAGCTTGTTAATTTGTTTTTGTTTTTTTCGGGTTTATCTGTGTAAGCTTTAAACTGGTTTTTGTATGCGGTTTAGTATCTATATATGTATATATTTTTGTTTGTTTGCTTGTATTATWTTCAGTTTGGCGCTTCTAAGCAGTTGAAGCAGCTATCTCTATGTGTAAACATGTATATATAGTGTTTAGATGTACTATATACATTCGATCTCTGGCATAAATTCATCAATAGGCTTGTAATACGTCTTCTTCCTGCGTGGTAGTAGTTAGTATTTATGAGTATTTAGTTGGGTGAGCCTGACTTTTCAGTTGTTTCGAGTGTGTGAGAGTTTTACAATTCCTCGAAGGTCTGGTGTATATATAGGTATATATAAATATCTCTTTGTTTCATAAATGTTGTCATTTTAATATAAATTTCGACTAAATATCGCGCGTATTTAGCGTGTTCTATAAATTGTAATTGCACCTTAATTTTGCTTGGGATTTTTATTCAGCTTATTCTTTTTTTTGTATTTTTTATTGTTTTTCTTTTTAAATATTTTTATAGGTAATAAATTAGGTGTTCTTGGTTAGTTGTTTATCATAAACGTATAAGGCTCTGAGTAGTTAGCTTAAAAAACTTCTAAAAAAAAAAAAACACACACACATTATGACAAACTAAATAAATACTAAATTGGTATTTTAAAATATTGTCGCTGCGAGCTATGAGCTGGAAGCGAAAGCGTGTGAGGCCAACGCTATTTATGGTTGATCCATTTCATTATTTTTGTTAATATTATTTAAATTTAAGTTTATTCTCTCGGTATTTTAAGTATTCTTTTTCTATTAAATGTAAAGAAAAGTAAATTAATAAATTCTCTCAAAAATAAAAAAGAATGAATRAGGAAAAGGAAAAGGAAACTGTTATACAGTTAACTAGTACCGCTAGTCATTAGATCTATGCTCTATACGTTTGTAGGTAAGTACTCCGTCCAAAACTCTATCGTCGTATCTCCTGGTATCTAACATATTGTGTAAACTAATTTGTAATGAATGCATTATTATAGCTAGT